CTGACACGTGCTACAATGTGGACGTACCCTGAGATATGCTAAGTAAAATATGCCGGTCACAAAAGGACAAAGACTAAGATCCCACTCACATGAGGTACCCGGAGTAGTCAAATTCTTAAAGACAGAGAGTGAAATGGTGGTTGCCAGGGGATAGGGAAAGGAGGACATGAAAAATTAGTGTTTCATACAAGATACAAAGAGTTCTGAAGATGGATGGTGATGACAGTTGTGTGACAATGAGAATGTACTTAATGCCACTGAACTGTACATTTAAAAATGGCTAAGATGGCAACCTTTGTTTATATTTTACTATAATAAAAAAACCAAAACCAAAACAACAGAGCTCCACAGGTAGAGGGGATGTGCCCGCTCAGTTTAGAAACACTACTCTGGCCAAGCGTGGTGGCTCGCGCCTATAATCCCAGAACATTGGGAGGCCGAGGCGGGCGGATCACTTGAGGTCAGGAGTTTGAAACCAGCCTAGCCGACATAGTGAAACTCCCTCTCTACTAAAAATACAAAAATTAGCTGGGCTTAGTGGCGGATGCCTGTAATCCCAGCTACTGTGGAGGCTGAGGCAGGAGAATCGCTTGAACCCAGGAGATGGAGGTTGCAGTGAGCCAAGATCATGCCACTACACTCCAGCCTGGGCGACAGAGTGAGACTCCGTCTCAAAAAAAGAGGAAACACTATTATAATAAAAAGGAAAACAAATATTTTTGATAAGTAGTTGTGTCTAAAGACATCCAGATACCTAGCTGACTTTATCATGTTGCTAAAAAAGTAGATACTTAAATAAACAGCTTGCTTGTTTGTTCCACTTCTTAGTAGCCTAAAACAAGCTTTTGAATAAATATAATGTTTGGTATGCTACACTTCTCCAAAGCTCTCCCATGTGATAATGAAGGATTTTTACCTTAAAATATTCATTTAGAAAACATACAATATGCTTCTTAAGGAGAAAAAAAAACTATTAAAAGTTAAAGCTAATGAAGCATAATACAAAAAAAAAAAAAACCACAAACATACAAATTCTAGCATAAGTTGTTTGGAAAGCAATTCCTCAGAAAAACTATCTAAAAATGCTTTAGAAAGAAGTTTTCTACATATCAAGATAGGAGTGGTATGGTATAATATTCAGATCCCATCTAAATATCAGGTAATATTTTAATTTGAATTTAGCCAAAGTCATTTTTTTCTTTAACATAAATGTACAGTTATGAGACTGAAAAATCGATAGTTCCTAGGCTCCAGCAATTAAAAATTAACCAAATTAGAAAGAGTAAGTCTGTCTGCAAAACAGCTAACTTAGAAATAAATCCATCTGATGCACCTTCAGGAAAATTAGAAAACAGACAAAATACTGAAGCTGACCTTAATCCAAACCTGCTAAATTAATAATTTAGCCTCAGTTTGTACTGTGAGTATTAAAAGTTGGGCTGATATTTTTAAAGATGGTCAATTCCAGGACTTTCATGGAGCACTAAATGAGAAAAGGAAAAGAGAGGAAGATCAGTGCACCTGCTAGAAGACAGGTGTTAGCTAAGCAAGGACCAAGTTTCAGATGCCAGGTGAGCTAGTTGGAGCCCAATGAACAAAACTGGTATGTAGCCCCTGAACACATATCCTAAGATTTTGAAAAAGCACATTAAACGCAGGTTCTACGCATGCAAGTTATATGTATAATCCAGGAATTTGTAAAGAACGACTTCAAGGATAGAAGTCTGATGAAACGGGATAAGGATGGGATCTGATCCTGCTCATAGGAGCAGGAAAGTGGTGTAGGGGAGGGGAGAGCCGGTAGAGATGAGGAGAAACAGCAAGTGGAGATGCAGAACTCGAGTCTTAGTGGAAAACCAAACACCGAAATCCAAACTCAGGCTTGGAGACACTGAAAACTCAGGCAAACAGAAGTAGAGCGGCCACAGATCCTAGACAGATCTGACTGGAGACCAGGTAAAAGAGTGCAGACAATAAAAGGTTGAACATGGCACAGAAGAACACCACCACCAAGTTGTTTTGATGCTCAGCTGAGCAACTGAGGTAGGGGCCCTGTTGTTTGGGATTCCAGCCTAGAATATAAAAGAGAACAGGGTATGAACATCCTGGCCAAGAACGTTCTCTACCTTAAGTTTGCAGGTCATGTTTATTCTGTTGTAGTCTTACTAAGGGTTTGGCATAACCTGTTCTTCCCTTTCATTTCCCTAATCATTTCAACTGGGCTGGTAATCCCTAATAAGCGTCTGGGGAACAATGACACCTACTGTTTGAGCTCCTATAACTGCAATTAACTTGCTACATGGAATGGTGGCAGGTGTAGATTGATAGCTACTGTTTCCTTCCTTTGCAAAAAACAACAAATGGCTCTGTGGTGAGTTAAGTTGGAGAAGTACTGAAATTAGAGATGACAGAGTTGTTATCACAGAAGATATTTGATTTAGAATAAAAATATGACTGTGTGTCTATTTACAACAGCCCTACCTTATTACAGAAAGGACCTTATTACTGAAGGTAACTGAAATACATGATAGACTAACATGTGATTCAGGCATGACTGTTCAATGAGAATATCACATTACAGAACTGAAATTCCATAAGGTGATAACAAGAGCAACATAATGGCTGAAACGGCTTCTCTGGTTCCCTGTTTCTGCATCCCTTTCTTCTCCCCTAGCCACAGCAAGGTCCTGGGACCTCCACTAGTGTGCACTGTGGCGGCTTCACATGCTCTCCATCTGTATCCTCTATCCCAGACACAGACCCTGTCCTGTTATATACAATCCATCTCTTCTCCACTCCACTAGCAGGACCACTATGTGACATCCTGTACCTGAGCGCCGCTATGGATCATCTACCCTCCTTCCTTTGAGACTGGAGGTCTGCTCTGCTCTCATCTTCTGTCTGTTCGGATCTGCACTCTCTGAAGACTGTCCACTCACAGACTTGTAGCCACTGAGTTTTGCTGTTTCACCTCTTTATGCTGGAACTTTCAGAATTAACCACCAAACTGAATATCCCACTGCTCACCAGCTTTCCCAGCCCTATCCCCTCTATGGCTGCTTGTGGCTGGATCTACTTCCAGTGAGTACCCCTCTCGGCAGATGTGTCTTATGTCTTGATTGGGCCTACTTCTGAAATTCTAATTTCAGGCTAAATAATTACTATTTTTGCATTTGTGAAATAGTTCTGCTTGGTTTATCCATCATATGAAAAGAATGCCTGCTGGTAACTTTTCCTTTTTCTACCATAAATGTGGGCCAGTATGCATATTCATTCCCTTTTTCCCCCTAATTTTATCATATTTTAGTTTCTATGACTTAACATTGAAAAAATCAAGTAGCTTCTATTAAGAGTTCGGTAAATATATTATTGATTTTCTTTTACTCTATTTTCTTGTACTTTCATTCTGCAAGTACAGGACATTCAGAGAAATAAGTTTTCATTAGTTGGCATGATCCAGTGCTAAAGTCTCCTATACTATGTAAAACTGAATTTCCATTAATATATAACAAGCATTTGCTGATATTACTGCGTGTATTTATATAATGAATACCAGACTCACTACGTGCTCAGCAACATCCTCATGTGTTCACATGAATTGCATAGTTGAGATAGCCTATGAACCAGAGTATACTGATTTGGTCGGCAGGAAACCAGGATGAAAAAAACGGACCACGTTGTCTCATACTGAAACCTCAAATGTTCCCTCTCTTGCCATAAAGTGATTATGCAATACGCTGCAAGTCACTAAAGGGTAAACAATACTAAAAAGCAGTTACTTGGCTAAGCCTGAAGTCCTATGACACATTTCTGAAGTACTAGTGGTTGAATTATAGCCTAAATCTATTCTGGGACTATTTCAACAAGTCAGATTCAAAAATAAATAAATAAACAAATTCTGTATTGCATATCCTGACATTTCTTTTAAAAAACAGTAGACTTCAGGCCGGGCGTGGTGGCTCATGCCTGTAATCCCAGCACTTAGGGAGGCTGAGGCGGGTGGATCCCGAGGTCAGGAGTTCCAGACCAGCCTGGCCAAGATGGTGAAACCTCGTCTCTACTAAAAATACAAAAATTAGCCAGGCATGGTGGCGGGTGCCTGTAATCCCAGCTACTCGGGAGGCTGAGGCAGAGAATTGCTTAAACCCAGGAGGCAGAGGTTGCAGTGAGTTGAGATCATGCAACTGCAATCCAGCCTGGGCGACAAAGCGAGACTCCGTCAAAAATAAAATAAAATAAAATAAAATAAAATAAAATAAATAAAAAGCAGTAGACTTCAGGAAAGATTTCAAAAAACAAACATCAGCATTATTTTACATTTACATTATTTTATATACTTTTCAAATATATTTTCTAAGCCTTTGAAGTGGGTAGGTAGTAAGAAAAGAAATGCAATAAGGAAGACTTGATTCTAGGCTATATCTCAGATGACTCACTCGGAAAACCCTGTCAGTACAGCATTCATTCACCAGAGAGAAGTGATCTTGAATTCTGTTAACATACCTGCTTTAACAGTTGTTACTCTGGGTTTATAAGCTTTAGAAAATCATCTTCAATCCTATAAACTTGCTGAATATTTAGTTTCCTTCTCCGCTATGACATAGAAAATGATGTAACCCAACCCAAGGCTTTGTCTGTGAGTGGATCTTGTACCCATTGGCCCCCACTAACCTATGCATACGTATATGTATAAAATAGAGATTTTTAACTTTGCTTACAGCCTAATCATCGGGCAGATTTTAAATTAAAATGATCACTTTGGCACTTTCAAATTTAAAACAAAATATCTTATTTTAGTTGTTTGAACTATATTAGACATTTAAAAAATATATTTCTTGAACCAAAGGGGAAAATACAGTAAGGTAAAGAGCTCCAGCAAGCTTAGTCTGGCCACAGTAATGAATGTTCTATTGAAAGGGATTAAAATGAGCAAATAAACCCAAAGAAGCCTTAACCCTCCTTTATTCCCTGTAGTAGACCAACAAAAATCAAATAAATACCTCAAATAGAAAGGTGAAATAGGTCTTTCATCTTCCTGCGAACTAAAAGGAAAATAAATTTTGAATTAATATAATGTCTGTTAATATGACATGTCAATTTCACTAAAAATGTTCTACCGGTCAAAAATGTTGATTTAGCACATTAAAGCCAATCTCATGATGGAGTAAGGTTAGTAAAACACGATCCACCTCGGACCTAGCCAAGGTCAATTACTTCTTGTCAGGATACCATCAAGTGAGGCTTCTTTCAAGATGAGCTAAGACAAAAGTAATTCACATCACACTTTCCAGAGGAAGCTTTTTACTGCCTTATTCTAGGGGCCCAATTCAAGTATTCGTATATTACACATAAACCCTTAAAACGATTACATACTAATTTATCTCAACAAAGCTGATTGCAGCTCATTAACATGATGATGAAAATAAGAAACAACCAACAAAACATTCCTGTTAAGAACGAGCCACTTCAGGAATGATTCCCTAGCAATGAAGAGCACATCAGTAAACAGCACCACACTCACGGGCTGTTTGTCCTTCTGTAGTTACTCTACTAAGTATTAACTAGTGTGTATAACATGAAAGGACATAAATGAAACAATTAACAAGTTTAAGTTCCTCAAACAACACAGACAAAATATCAAGCTTAATACACTGAAAGTTAATTTTTTATTTTTTTAAGAGACATGGTCTCACTCTGTTGGCCAGGCTAGAGTGCAGTGATACGATCACGGTTCACAGCAGCCACAAACTCCCAGGCTCAAGTGATCCTCCCATGTCAGCCTCTGGGGTATCTGGGACCACAGGCACGTGCTACCATGCCAGGCTAATTTTTTATTTTTTTTTGTGGAGATGGAGTCTCACTATGTTGCCCAAGCTGGTCTTGAACTCCTGGGCTCAAGCGATCCTCCCGCCTCAGCCTCCCAAAGTGCTGGGATTGCAAACATGAGCCACTATGCCTGGCCTAGAAATTCAATTTTTAAAATGTAAAATATTTGCTGTATTTTCTTTGCCTTTCTTTAGCATGCTTTATTTTTCCTAATAAATGATCTCAAAGTATAGAATGAATCCCTCCGCCTTGCTGTCCACTGGAGTGATCTTTGAACTTTTTAAATTATGCACTCATAAAACTTGCTTTTCAGTAGCCACTCCCCTCAAATATATAACTGATTAAATATATATATATTATGTACATCATTAAACAGATAAAAGTAGAAAGATAAAGTATTAAATAAAATGAAAAAGAAGGTCTAATATTTTCTTTTGTCTCCTAGGGTTCCTCTTGGATATCACCTGGGGTGTATACCACCTTACAGCATCTGGGAAAGCAACTAATTAACTGCAGCATTCTCTTTGTCTCTCTTTTTGCTTAATTTTCTTAAGCATCATTCATGAAAAGAGAAAAGTCTGCTTTGACTGATAGTATTAAACTTGCAGTCAATAAACTCTTATATAAGAGTTACACTGTAAAACACACATAAGCAAACAAAATCCTGTCCTGAAAGTTGAATAGGTCTTAACATTTTAGAAGGAATATGGAACATAAAATGTGACACATTGTTTTTCATTCTCTTATGATTTGGATTTCCAATTTCAAAACTGAGCAGCTGTTCTAATGCCCATGTTGCCAAGTATCTTAATGTTTATAACTAATGGTGTTAACTCTTCCCAGGTGAGAGGTAAGTGATGGGCTGTAATGTGGATGGGCTGAGGGCAAAGCTTGTAGAATTAGGTTGCAGGGTTGAAGAGTTAGCAGGGACAACACCTGGACATTTCCCAGGTGTTGTTACAGGAAACCACCTGAAACAGTGCTATTATAGGAGGTGTCTACTTTTAAGTCAACCTGACAGAAGTCACTTACACATTTGACTTCCAAATATTCCTAGAAAACACTAAACGAAACAATTATAAAAATGTTAGAACTGGGTTTCCTGATCAAGAAATTGATCATTATGCCAAAGAAACACTATGCCAAAAAAAAAAAAAAAAAAAAAAAAAACAAACCAAAAACAACACCTGCCACTAAAAACCTATAATTATTTTGTTATTCCAGGAAAGGCCTCCATATTTTGTAAAATGAGTACTACATACTTTCTTTGCCCAGAACAGATCCTTTACTCTAACATGTAGCAAACTGAAGGAAAATTAACATGGTTACTGTAACATTCTTTGATGTACACTCAATTAGCAATATACTTGGTTTTCTTAAGTGCTTTTGAGAGATGATTTAAATGGTTCAGGGCTCTGAACACAGCTGTTCATGTGTCTTAGCTATTTGTGTGTGTCTGTGTGCCAAATTTCTTTGCAGCAAACAGAAGCAATACTGTTTTCCTTTTATCTCCGTCACAAATTTCATATCAATTATGACTGCGGGCCAGATCCTACCACAGGTCCTATATTAATTATCTCAATTAGATCCTCACAAAACTTTCCTGGTACTGGCTTCTTGCTTCTTCTTTAATTCAGGTGGGAAAAGCAGTCTCAGAGTGAGTACATAACTCATTCAGATGATGCAGCTAGTCATGTGTAAACTACTGTGTTACATATTAGTTCATTTTTCTTATTGTTTTCCCTTCATTTTTAACCTATCAAAGTACGGCGAGATGACTAGGTTAGTAAAGAAAACGCATTCGATGGCCAGTCTGCATTCCAGCAGCCACAGCAAGATCTCGTGGACTTGATAAGCTCCTTGTCATGCTTCTGATTATGGCAACTCTACATCACCTTAGTCAAAGTCTATTCGTAATGCATTATGCCTGACAGCACTTATAAGGTGATTAATTTATTAAAATGTACTGGCACGATGTCAAGAATGTCTCTTGGTAGAAACACAAGACTTTAATCATAAGCAAATATTTTATCTGGCCTGCATTTGCACAAAGTAAATTCATCAATGAAAGACAAAATAAGAAATTTTTAATTTGGCTATGCCCCTGAATTTTGACCAGTTTTTGTTCTAAAAAAGAAAATGTAAGCACTGAAATTTAAGTAAAATAAAGCAGAGTCAGTATTACATTTAGTCAACAATCAGCAGTACACAGTGGAGTAATCCATGCACACTACCTGAGAAAAACAATATAATTTGGAAAGAAAATGAGGATAAATAAATCAATTTTTATTTTAAAAGCATATTTCTCTTTTCCCTTTCCTAAAAGTACACTTTTCTGGGATTTATTAATATAATCTAAACAGAGGCATACATTTTGAGACAACTAAATCATTGATTTCAAATTGATTACCCCAACTCATTTTAGAAATAAATTTAATGCATTGATTTTGAAGGCAATTTTAAAGAAAAATGGCCAAGGACTATTCTTCCAAATAAAATCAAGAAAATAAACTTCTCCACAAAATGTACAAACCAGAATGCACAACATTTGAAAAAATTACCATTTTTATATAGTTGTTTGAAGATATTATACTATTACTACAGGCTCCAAAACATCTTTAACAAAGATTATTTACACCTATTCCTGTTTTTGTGTCAATCTGTCATGATCAATGATACTAAAGGATTTTGCCTAAATTCTAAATTGAGTATAATTTGTCATAATTTTTTCCTAAATATGAAATTGAGAATTGATTCACTTTTAATTTTTAAAAATAAGCAAATGTTCTGTGAATGAAGAAGGAAGTGTGTGTTATGAAATTAAGCCAATGACAAATTGAAACAACTTAGAATTCATTTGATTTCCTCCTTGGTTACCAGTAACAACTCCATGTTTTAATTATTTCCTATTTGCTGACTCTCAATAACGGCCAAGCTTAAGCAGCCAATTATAAGTAGTTTACTTTAAAAAAATCAAATATACACTGAGAGATTTGGGCAATCACCTCATTTATGTGATTATGCTTAATGTTCTCAGATACATGGTACTATATTCTCTAAATAACTGCTTGTGGGAAGAACATTTATCATATAGACCTAAATAATAGTCTAAATCTAAGAAGCTACTACCAAGAATGCCAATAACTTAGATATTTTTATCTAAGTTTTAGCAGAGTCCTGTCTAACTTTTTATACAGCTTGACATTGGTTAATGCACATAAATAAACGACACCTAGACTGATAATCTCTTCATGAGCTGCACTAATTTCTAAACTGAAGCCACAGAATGCAGTGCAATGCCTATCAGTTTAATTATACAGCAAGCTAAAGGAAATCATGAAAGGCATACTGTTGTATATGTCTAAGAAAAACCAAATGTTGGGAGAATTCCCAGGGCAAGCACCCAGAATGGACCTTCAATTACTCGATCAAACCACCATTCCATTCAATTCCCTTTTTAACTCTCCAATGAATTCAACTTTCTAATTGGTTAATGTGGCTGGCTACCAAAAAATTAACATAATTTGCATATTTAGTCACACACTTTAAATACATTTCTAAGTGGTTTGAGACAGAAGAAATAGTTTGTAAGTGTTCCTTGAGTACTGAAAAGTACAGAAAAACAAGTAAATGCTAAGAATTTGGTGCCATTCTTTGAAGAAACTAGAAAAACCATCTATGAGGCTTAAAAAACAAAACAAGGAGCAAAAGAGAGAGAGAGAAAGTGAGGGACAAGTAAAAGAAAAGTATAAAGTAAACATTTTTTTCAGGAACTCAGGCATTTTCCACATGCGCTGCAGAATGTAAGGGGAGGAATTTTCTTAGAGAATGATAAGTGAAGTTAGCACATTTTCCTTTCCTTCCTTGTTCTCAAACCATAAAGTGCAACACATGTACTTGAGCATTTTCAATTTATCCAGTCTCAGTCATTAACCACGCCCCCTGCCAACTGGGGAGGTGTGTGGCAGCCACTGTTCAGTTGCTTAGGTTTTTGGTTTGGTCCCAATGAAGAACATTAAAAAAAAAAAGAAGTCCCCATTTTTTTTTTTTTTTTTTTCTGGAAAACAAATGTAAGAGTTTTCAGATCAGTTCATAACTGTTTGCAGCTGTAATTTGTTGGGGGTGGGGGATATTTTACAATTCTTTTTTGTAAACCCAGGCAGCTTTGTTTATAGTTTTATTATTTGCACTTTGTGCCTAAGAGCACAAATCTTAG